CACTAATTTTCTCTTTACCTGTATCTAATCTCCTGCTAAATACTTCTGTTGAGATTTTTAATTTTTGGCCATTTGTATTTTAACCTCTAGAATCTCATTTTCTTTCAAATCTGTGATTTGACTAACTTCTAATTTTCTGTCAGCTTTCAAACTTGAGTTTTACATCCTTCAACAGAAAAGCAATTACTTTACAATCACTTCCATCTCAGTAGCTGGAGTTCACTTGGCCTTTCTGTTGTCTGTGTTGGCTTTAGCCCATGCTGTTTATTCATGTGCCTCAATTTTCTGCATGCAATAATATATTTGCAAATGATTCTTTGAAAACACAAAGTCTATGGTTACAGACTCCGGAGTATTTTATAGCTTCTGCCAGGGACTTTGAGTCACTAACAATACAGGATGATTTTAATCCAATTTCAGAACTTGAGACTTTCTGGGCATTACGTGACATGAAGCCAGACTGTAGTCCATGCAAGGACTGGATTTCTGCTAGTTCAGTCTTCTTCCAGGGCTAATATAGGAGGTCTTGGGTTTTAAATCCTGCTCTGCTGTGGGACTCTAGAAGTTACTTGTCTTCGTTAAGCTTCAGTTTTACCGCATGTAAATGAGATGAATATCTTCTTATCTTACGTATGGAGAAACTTATGCCCAAACAGGGGAGGTAATTCTAACATCCTAAAATTGGTGAGCAGCAACTACAGAGAACCTAGGCCACCTCTCAGGGTTACTTCTGCCCGAGCTTTCTGGTTTTTTTTTTTTTTTTTTTTTTTTTTTTTGCAGCTGGTCAGTATGGGGGTCAGAACCCTTGACCTTGGTGTTATAACACTGTGCTCTAATCAAGTGGGCTAACTGGCCCGCCCTCTACCTGAGCTTTCAATATTGCAACCTGTATTTAGGGACCTATGTCCCCAAACACCTCACTTCCCCCTAGATGCACATAAAGAAGGTTCTACAATCCCTAACATACTCACCAATCAAAAATAAGGAATCTGAATTAGGTTACAGTATGGAGACACCAGGGGAAGCTGGTGTATGGCAAGGAGAAGGAAGGCTGGAGGGCAATGAAGAGCTGTCAGGGCTGTAGGACACTAGAAAAAATGACATTAAAAGTGTCCTGGCATACATGGTACCCGTGTTCTGGCATCACAAGTGAAGAGGTGGCTAGCCCAGTCTTACTTCACTTCCCGTGTTCACTTCCCTTTCCCTGCTTCTACTATTTAAGATCTGTTCCTCAGCTCTTGTCAGAGGGCTGGGGTACCAGCGGGGCTGATTCTGAGACACTGTTCCAGCTGCTATGGAAGGCCCCTGAGTGTGGATTGGGAGGTAGATGGTGGGAGGCTTAGGAATACTGGAACCGAGGGTATGGTCAAGAAGACTTGACAGGGCTGGTATACTCCAGTGCCGGACAACCTAGGGCTGAGTTTGAGGGATGTTGTTGCCTTTGTGGAACATTTATGATAGACTTTTCCTAGGGAAAAGGCAAGTCTCGGCAGAGGTCCAGCTCCCAGGTTTCCTCCTGGCCTTGCTGCACACTAACTTCCTTAGCAGAAACCACATTTTACCAGGAAAACACATTTCTTTCACTTCCCTGCCTTGGCCTCCATGTTCTGCTCCATAAATCTGACTGGAGATGTTCTCATTCTAACTGCTTTAAACAGCTGCCCTCCTCCAGTGGCCTAGTGGGCAACACTGCCCTCCAGCTTCCCCACTCTATCCTGATCCCTGTTTCCTGTGTGCCTGGAGTCCCTGGATGAGGGTTGCGTAGAGGAGACAGACTAGTGGGACCTTGGTGACAGCATGGACTTCCAGGGTAAGAAGTCCAAGAGAGCCTCTCACTCAGCTTGAACTGGAATAACTTTAAATTAGAGGCCCATGGTCTGGTCTGGATGATGCTACAGAGCTAACCAAAGAGCTGTCACATCTTTGATTTTTGTTATTAAGCGACACAGGACAAAGACACTCAATATGTGAACCTAGTCCTGGGAGAGGGCAGAAGCCCTCTGGTGATAGCTTCTTGCCCATGGAGGGATGTTACTACCCCTATCTTGGCTCTTCCCACCAGCGCTCTTCTGGACCAACAGGGATGATGGCTACCACCTTCTGATAGGCAAAACCAAAGGAATTCCCACCTGGTCCTTGAGCTACCTCTCTAGGATATCCAAGTATCTTGGAGGACATGTGAGCTACCTACCTCCAGAGTGGAGAATCCCATTATAAAGCACCTGTTACTTCTAAGAGAGGAAGGTTAGACCAGATCAAAGCTTTTGTGTGATAAAGGGTTAGTCCAGACATAGGTGATCATATTTGTTCAGTTTCTTTAACAGTATATTCCTAGGGCCGGCCCATGGCTCACTCGGGAGAGTGCGGTGCTGATAACACCAAGGCCACGGGTTCGGATCCCATATAGGGATGGCCGGTTAGCTCACTGGGTGAGCGTGGTGCTGACAACACCAAGTCAAGGGTTAGGATCCCCTTACCGGTCATCTTTAAAAAAAAAAAGAAAAGAAAAGAAAAAAGAGGGTGTCTTGAGTAGGGGGATAGCAGTAGAAATAGTGAGAAGGGATTGGATCCTGAACTGTTTTGAAGGTAGAGCTGAGATGATTTGCTGATGGGCCGGACATAAGACATGAGAAAAAGAAAACCTTGAGAGTCCGTCAGAAGCTGCTGAAGGTGAGGTTTGTCTGAGCAGTTCAGAGACCTAAAGATCACCTACCTCAGTGTTTTTCACATTTATCAGATAGCAATAATTACCCACATATTATTAAAAATACAGAGTCCTGGAAACTATGCTGAACCTGGTATTCAAAAACAAGTAAAGAAACACCAAGGTCCAGGTTTGATCCCTGTACCAGCCAGTAAAACAAATTTAAAAAAAAAAAAAAAAAAAAAAAAACAAAAAAAACAGTATATTCCTAATACTGGTGAGTAAAGTTCTTTGTATCACTGAAAGTTTGGCATCCAAAATCAAGACTCAGGACATCTTGGTCCCGTGGCTTCATTTGGTCATTGCTCCATCTTTCATGGCCAAGTCCTCATCCATCTGTTCATTGACTTGGCAATGTCTTCATGGTTGTCCCTCTTCTCCTCATTAACTGTGTTAGTGACCTACATGTCAGGCACTGTGCTAGGGATATAATGATGAAGGGTGACCTGTGAAGATTCTGAACAAGTTACAATATTAAATGTCATTAAGGAGCCACATAGGTTGTTATGGGAACATCTCAAGCAAACTGAACCTGGTTTGGAGAGGTTGGGCAGAGTGTCTGGTGCTTTGAAGTGCTGGTGTTCTAAACCTGTTAAAGAAGCAGCAAGGTTTTACATGTAGGTGCATGTTACTTAGTAGAAGAGAACTAGGAATTGTAGCATTTGGAAGGGCACATAAGGCTAGATTTTTAGAAGAAGGGATCTTAGTATCTGGGGATATGAGGATTGTCTTGAAGAATTAGAGACAGCTGTTGGTTTCACGTTCTCTTACCTCCTGGGTTCTTACCATCTGATTTGTTTTGTTGATTCTGTGAGGCTTTCTGGATCTCATCTGGTATTTTGGCTTGTTTTCAGAAGGAAGGTTGATCTGAATAGTCAGTTCTCCAAGTATAGTTCCAGAAACTTGCTAGAAATTAAGATTCTTGGTTCTTACTCAAGACACACGGAATCAAAGTCCAGGGGCGAGGCTTTGCCATTTGTCTTAACAAGCCCTCCAGGTGATTCTGATGGACCTCAAAATCTGTGAACCACATGCCTAGCCCAGGGTTACTAGTGATGGAAACCTAGGGCAGCTGTCACAGCAAGTAGATTGAAGGCATTTACAGGAAGCCATGTGAGGTAGGAGGATGGAGGGACTAAGATATTTGAGCATCAGGCTCTGAGTATCTGGTATGGCTAAGTTGGGGAAAAATAGGCAAAAAGAAGGGCTGATGTTCTAGAACAGGGGTCGGTAAACCTTTTCTGTAAAGGGACAGACAGTCAATATTTTAGGCATTGTGAACCATATGGTCTCTATCACAACTATTCAGCTCTGCCATTTTAGGGCAAAAGTAGCTATAGTGGATTGAATTATGTCTCCCAAAAACTCACTGATGCTTCAATTGTGTCCCCCAAATTTTATGTATTAGGAACTTAGTCCCCACTGTGACTAAGGGTGGGAAATCCTATTATGGTAATTTAAAGGTGGAGCCTTGAAGGGATGATTAGATTGTAGGACCCTGCAGAAGTGAATGGATTAAAAATGGTGGTCAAGGGTGTGGTTCTGAGGGCTTTAAAAGAAGAGGAGGGTTTGTCTTTCTCTCTCTGCTCTCTCTACTTCCACCACCTTACAGTGTGAGACCTCTGGGTCATTGTCACTATTACTGGATGGACTTTGGACGTCCCAGCCTCAAACTGTAAGCAATAAATGTCATTTTCCTTTATAAATCACCCAGTCTCAGGTATCCTGTTATAGCAAAACAAAAACAGACTAATACAGTGGCCATAATCAATACATAAATAAATGAACATGACCATGTTCCAATAAAACTTTATCTACAAAAACAGGTGGTAGGCTGGATTTGGCCCTTGGGCAGTAGTTTACTGAGCCCTGTTCTAGCAGAATGGTTTACTCAGTGGTGGTGGCACTTTCTTATTTAGAACCCGATAAAGCAAGAACCAAACTTGTTGAAGCCCAGGGTGGGGAACCAGTACCTACCCACTCAGTTCCCCCTCTTCTCAAAGGGAGCCCTAAGGCTCTTCCTCAGAGTATATTCTAATACCATTTAAGTAGAGTGCTCTCATGTCTGGCCTTGAGGCCACTTAGGCATTGTCCTTGAATGAGTAGGTAACTCTTCCTGAGCCAATTTGGGCCTATAATCAAGGCATAGAGGTGGGAGAAGCCAGTGACTGGACTAAGATTAGGTCTGTCCCCAACCTGAGGTTCAGGAAAGTCTCCTTTACTCCAGTGCATGGTCTCTCTCTCTCTCTCTTTAGGTTCCAGCCAGCCTGCTTCAGCCAATACAAATACCCAGAGTATGAGCCATCATTTGGACACGTTCCCCATGCCCTCTGGCTTGATAAGGAGCCAGGTCCTAGGAGACCAGAGCATCTACACCCAGCTGTTGGAGATGATGCTGCATTTGCAGGAGACCTTGAAGGATTACTTTGCACAGACACAGCAGAGCCCGGTGCTGGAAGAACAGAGTCACGCTCAGGCTATCTATGAGCAGGAAGCCCTCCTGGGCCGCAAAATGTGCCAAATGGTCAACCTCTTACAGTGTGGGGTCACAGGTGGCCTGGGGATCCAAATGCCACTTCCCTCCCTTGACTCTAGGGGTGATGTCAGAGGTGGGCAGAGGACCCAATCATCTAGACAGCTTGACCAACCAGTTCCCCAACTGAGTGATTTTGAAGCTGCATTTAATGGCTGTGACCTGTCCAATCGTGGGGTTGACATTTCTGTATTATACCACTCGAGCTTCCAGGACTACAAGGCCTACCAAAGAGACAAATACAAGGACAAGAACTCCGTGGGAAGAATGGGATATCTTCAAGGATTCCAATCACTTGTAGTTAAAAACTCCTGTGTCGAGTACTCTATGCTTTCTCGCTCTTCAATGCCCTTTGAAATGGACCATGATGTTTTCTCACAGGTAAGGGAATAGTCACAGCAATAAGGTGATGTGTCCCAGAAAGTTGGAGAACTGGGGTACGGGTTTCCCCCACCCCAAGCTTTCCCTAAATTCCAGCTCTTCACCACTAGGATCAGTCACTGGTCACAGTGGCGAGTGAGCCTGCCCTTTGGAACTTGGCATAGTGATGAATGTAGTCAGCCATTGGGGAAGAGACATTAATGACGTTTCCAAGAGCACTAAAGGGTGGTCAGGGAAGGCATCTCAGAGGCTGAGTCAGCCAGCCAAGTGGTGGTCGTGGTCCCTTAGGAAGGAGGAACAGTACGTGTGAGAGCTTTAAGGTGGGAAAGACTTGGTGAGATTGGGAGAGGAGGCCCATGTGGCGAGGGTAGAGAAGAGGAGGGCTGTGATATGAGGAGCAGACAGGTGGACAGGAGGCATTAGGGTGCTACCCTAAGGGTGACAGGGAGCTGGCAAAAGGCTTCCAGCAAAGCGGGTGCACAGCAGCTCTCCAGCCAGAGGGCTGAGGACACCACTAGCCACACCTTTCCTTCTGTTCCCATCTAAGTGGTGTGTGGCCAGTAGTCATCTGCTTCTCTGGGGACTGAGTTGGGTGTGTCTATTGGACTTTGAGGGAGTGTGTGTCCTCCAGGAACTTGGAGAGCCCTCACAGGTAAGAAGAAAGAACAGATGAGGACCAGGCGGGGCCTGTGGTGGTTAAGGGTCCAGGCCCTGGGGTCAGGCAGGTGGGGTTCTGCCCATCACCCAAAGCCACTGGCTGGTAGGTTATTCAACTTTTCTGAACTTTACTCTGTTTAAATCAGGGATCACACAGAACCTTTTTCTGGGGAGTTAAGGCAACTCACATAAATCACTTAGTCTAGTGTCCAGCACATAGGAACTCCATGACTGGTGGGGGGAACGTGATGTAACTGTGTCTCTGTTTGAAAGCTGTAAGATTTTGGGTTCATGGAAAGGTTTCTAACACTTAAAATTGTCATACGTGGATTGAATTGCCTCATGGAGCAGGGAGATCTCCATGTGAACTAATCCAGGATGAGTACTTAATGGTGTGTTTAAAGGGGTCCATATAGGGTGGGGCAAAAGGACTGATTCAGTTGCCTCCTATCTCCAGGGCTTAATTAACCTTGGCACCAGTGAGAATAAGCTCTGCACTGATCTGATCACTACAAGGGTAAGTCATGTTCCAGGCTGTGCTGGAACCCACCCCTTCAAGGCCTGGTCCCCTAGAATGTTCCTCAGCATGTGGCAGATATAAGAATGGGACATAGGAGTTTGAGAAAGGGAGTGGAGAAATAGCTTCTAGAGGAGCACATCTAACCTCCTGGCCTTGCTGACTGTGTCCATAGGTGTTCTCTGGTTAGGCATATAGTGGGTAGGCTGCCAAGGTAGTCCCTGGGTTGGGGAAATTGTCAAACACTTCCTGGTAAGATATCTATTTGTGTAATCTATGACAAGAAGATGGAGCCTCCATTGATTATGATGTATGTAGCAAGGATACCCGTTCCCATTCTGGGAGGCCATATATGTGCAAGTTAAACACTCATGTACTAACCAGGAGTAGGATGAGGTCTCCTGGGATTTCCTGGTCTGCCTGTCTTCATGCTCTATTTGTCAACAGTTGCTTCAGAGTGACATGAACTGCATTGAGAAAAACCTGCTGCAGTACACAGATTGGAGGGGGCATCTGTTGTAAGTGACCTCCAGAACTAGGGCCTCTTGGTCCACAGGCACTTGCCCTCTTCCAGGGGAAGATTCAGGCACCAAATTCTTGGCCGGCTGCCTCCCTATTTCCTTGGGTAGTAATTTCTAGAAATGCCTAGAGCAAAACCTCATCAGGAGGCAGCCTGGTATCACAGGAATAGCACTGTCCTATAATTCAAAAGGCCTAAGTTTTTGTCCTAGCTTTCACTATTGTCTGTGTGACCCAGGGAGTTGCTAGCCTCAGTTGGTAGCCCTATAAAAGGCTGGACTGGGTAGCAAAAATCTTTTAGGCTGGGCACTCTGCTCTTTGAAAAAGACTGAAATCTAGACCCTGAATGAGAAAGGGTGCCTGGGCCTGTGGGCCACAAGATCTCTCTGGGTCTATCCACAGCTTGCGGGAAGAAGTGGCCCGGTTCCTGACCTACTACTGCAAGACACCTGCCTGCCTTGATCCAGAAAACGTGAGTCAGTTTCCCAGCCTTGCTGCAACCCTGGTGAGAGCTGTATTCTTGGGAGACCCTCTGCATTACCTAGGGAGTACAGGGAGAACCAGTGGAGACCCTCAGGGCCTGGGCAGAACTAAGGGCAATGGGTCCCAGCTGAGGAGGCTCCTGGTGTCTGTCCCTCCTGGTGGGGGGTGGGGAAGGGGGACAGCATGGCTACACCTTTTGACATGGGTATTTGTGGTTGACTTCTACCTTTTGTGCATTGTATTCAGGTGGTTGTTCTAAATGGCTGCTGCTCTGTCTTCTCTGCACTGGCCATGGTACTGTGTGACCCAGGTGGTAAGTCAATGCACTTTGCTTTCCTTCTTAGTGACATACTGGCACATGGGCAGGAATACATAGGTACTGGGCTTTGGCAAGAAGAACATCTTGATTCAAGGCTTTTTCAAAGTACTGGGACCTCTCCTACACTGAGTAAGACATCTTCCTATTTCTATGGGAGCAGGGGATTTGGATCTCCTATTTAATATGGAAGAGAAATATGTGACAGTATTCAAGGAGGTATGCCCCAGGAATGATAACAATGGGAGCCAATCCATTATATTAATAGCTGGGATAGCTGAGCTTTTGGGCTTAATCAAAATACAGAGAGCCTTGGTAACTGGCTTAGACTATATACATCCTACTTCCTCAAAAAAAAAAAAAAAAAAAAGGCAATTAGTCCTCGACCAAATAAGACTAAGGTCTCTATTCAATCTCCCTTTTAACAATGCGCAAGCAAGAATCCCAGATATTAATGAGCTCTGGTTGCACTGAAGGAGGTGGCCAAGATGGATTTTTCCACTCAAAGAAGTGGGTCCTTGGTAGCTCATCAGTGAGGCCATGGATAGGAACAAATGAACATATGAGATCATCAGGTCCAAGTAACCAGAGCCTGCCTTGTTGCATGGACCTTGGCCTCTAGTGTTTAACCTGGAGCTGACAAACCTTTCCTAATGACCAGTCTGTTAGGCAAGTCTAGCTCTATTTGTGCCCTGGATTCTGAGCCATTCACAGCAATATTCTTCCCTCTTCTCCTTCTCTAGTATATTCCTAAAAGGAAACTAGAGTATCTCTCAAATGATGTCTATAAGACTAGATAACTGTATACAGCCTGAGCCCAAGAACTTACTCCCCCAGTAGAGGGATTGCCAAATCGAACTCTTCTGTCTGTAGCTTTGCTAGTCTGGGGGATCTGACAGGTAATGACTGAGAGACCGTGACAGCTTTGTCTCCTTGTGCTTCCAGAGGCCTTTCTGGTCCCCACTCCCTTCTACGGCGGGTTCACCTTTACCTCCCGCTTGTATGCGAAAGTTGAGCTGATTCCTGTCCACCTGGAGAGTGAGGTCAGAATGTGGCTCCTTCCCTGCTCAGCCCACGTAGGCAATGGACTGCTCTAGGAGCACTTAGAAGGTGTAGAGGGCCTTTCTCTCTTCACCTATGAGTGATGGTAAGGGAGGAATAGACAAATCAGGGTGAAGAAGACATGGGATTGGAGCCCTGGGAATGATGCAAAGGATTGTTGGGGGTTTGAGGAATCAAGACTTAGCTTTTCAGGTAAGCAGTTCTCAGGCAGTGTTTCTCTTCCAGATCACTGATGTGAACACCCATCCTTTCCAGCTCACTGTGGACAAGTTGGAGCAAGCTCTATTTGAAGCTAGACTTCAGGTAAAGAGGGGACCACATTTTCAGGGTGGCCACTGCTGGCTCTGAGAAGGGTTAAGTACTGAGACTCTGGTACCACTTGCTCACCAAGGCCTGGCGAGCTCTTTAGCCAGAAGAGACAGTGAGTGATCCTAAGGGCATGTCCCCACAAGAGCCACGAGTCCCACCTGTGGCAGTCCCCAGGGCTCTTTCCTGCTCCCCCTCTGTGGACAGTATGGTAGTTGCTTGTTAAGATCCCGCCTAGGCCTTGACTAGGTGTCATATGTTGGGTATCCTGACCTGTAAAGATCTTTGGCTGGATTTGGGGTAGATGTAAAGTATTTTGGTTTACTCAGTTACTTTTGGGTTCTTCTTAGGGGAAAAGAGTCAGAGGCCTCATGCTAACCAATCCTCAGAATCCTCTGGGTGACGTCTACTCCCGAGACTCACTGAAGGAATACCTGGAATTTGCCAAGAGGTATTTGAGTACCACCCCTTGAGACTAGATGAAGTCCCTAAAAAGGGTTTCTGTCATTCATAGTCAGGAAGTCAGAACCAGAAATAATTTAGCCTAAATATTCTTACTACATACATACTTTGCAAAGTTATATACAACTACCTGAATGGAATTGAAGGAAAATGCGCCCACATGCTCACCATTTCGACCCCTTTTTTGCCATTTCCTTTCTAGACTTTGCCCATGTATAGACATTTACATAACAGCCGTGAGGTAGTTCTATTGCTTTCCCACTTATTATAGCATAAGCACTTTCTCCCAGTATCTATTTTCTAGACTACGTGGCCTGAGGTGCCAAGGAAGACAGACTCTCAGACCTTAAGGGATGAAGATGTGTTGCTATAGAACTTTCATGTCCCATTTCTAAGAACATGTGTACATCAGTTACCTCTATAATCCTGAAACAGCCAATCTTCTGTCTTATAGAAGAAACAAGGGTCGGCCCGTGGCTCACTCGGGAGAGTGCGGTGCTAATAACACCAAGGCCCCAGGTTCGGATCCCATATAGTGATGGCCGGTTCGCTCATGGGCTGAGCGTGGTGCTGACAACACCAAGTTGAGGGTTAAGATCCCCTTACCGGTCATCTTTTAAAAAAAAAAAAAAAAAAAAAAAAAAGAAGAAACAGACTTATTCAAACTCTGATTAACCCAGACCAATTAATGGTGGGGCATGGGGACAGGAAGAATGCTAGAGGTCATGCGCTGGAATTCGACAGACCCGGGTTTGAATCCCTGCTCTAGCACCTGCTAACTGAGAGAATTACTTTTATATCTCATAGCCTCAGTTTCTTCATCTGTGAAATGGGGGTGACAGTACTATTTCAGAGGGTTTTTGGGAGAATAAACAAGACGATGCACATAGGCACTTAGCCTACTTGGTGCTCCTACTCACTCAGACCCTGAGTGGGAGCTCTCGACTGTGCCCGATGAAACTCTCCAGGATACCAGACTCCCGACTGCAGGAAAATGGGGCATCATTGGTCACAGATGCCAGTCTGTTAGGTTTTTTTGTTGTCACCATTCCCCATGGGCATATGGATCATATGGGCAGCCTCATAAGGTAGCCAACTCCTGCACTTGTAGTTCAAAGCCTGACACTTCCAGTTATAGGGATCAGCCTCCCTTATATCTTCAATCATGTGACTGTCCACTTGGAAAGAGTAGGGCAAAGAGTTGAGCCATCTCCTGGGGGTAATCTGGAACACACCAGGCAATTCCCTCTTCCTCAGTTGGTTGGAGTGTGGTGCGGATAACATCAAGGTCCAGGGTTCAATCTGTCCCAGCCAACCACCCCCCCGCCAAAAAAATTTCCTCTACCAAAATGTCTGCTTTCCTGCCCCCATTAGCATTTTACTATTAAAAAGTCTTATTCTTGAGATCAGAAAGACTTTCAAGGCTTTGGAGTTCCCTAGTGAAAATGCCAATAGTGCTGGGTAATGAACATTTAAGTTATTATCATATGTTATTTGAAGACCGGCAAATCTTCACTGGTTTCTGTTTGGTTGTTGAAGGATTAGATAAGATGTTCTTGTGTGTGTCTTTTGGGTTCTGTTCCTTCTTAGTACCCTTAAGCAAGGTCCAGGGGTCCCTTCTGGTATACCAGCATGTTCTTTCTTACCATGTCCCTTGGAAGGGATGGACAAGCTGTTGGGGCAGTAGGAGTATCTGATCCGGATCCAGAGAAGAATATGGAAGACAGTGAATTAAGATTAGAAAGGAGCTAGATCTTCTCCCTCTTTCACCCAACCTGCAGGTATAACCTACATGCCATCATAGACGAGATTTATATGCTGTCTGTGTTTGATAAATCCGTCACGTTCCACAGTGTTCTGAGCATGGAAAGGTGAGTGGTCCTCAGCTGGAGTTGAGAATGAGAACCACGAGGTTCCTGCTTTGCAGGGTAAGTTCATGGGCTATAAACTTAATCGGCTACATGTTGGGAGCTGAGTTAAACACCAACAGGGGTGTGAAGTATGAGCAAAGCATCATCTTTCCTCCCATGTGTCTTCTAATCCAAATGCCATTTTGTATACAAGGTAACTTGAGGGAAAGATAGAAAATGTACCGTCAAAGGTCGAGATAAAGCCCTACAGAAGGTCACAGTAGAAACCTCTTGATAAGTCCAGCACAGGAAAGAGTAGAAACAGGGCAGAACTTTCTTAAGGGTAGTATTAGGCCCTAGAGATAGGATTCTAGTCATCGAAGCAAGAGAAAGGCAAACCTGATAAGAGGAACAGCTTCACCAAAGGTGGGGTGGTAAGAAATAGACCAGCACATCTCAAATAGTGGGTAGCCCACACCTAAGAGCCAACTGCCAAGGAGGTGGCTGTGGACCCCCTGCAGGAGAGCCGCCAGTCAGGCTGAGGGGCCTGCACTTCATTCAGTGGGCACTGGGGAGCTGCTCCCTCTAGTTCTTCAGAGATACCTCGTATGGACTTCCTGGCTTAACTGGGATAACCATTTCTTGACAGCAGGGCCTTCAGGGCCCAAAGTCCTAGGAAGGACCTCAAGTCCACTTTCCCTTTTCTAGTCATTGATCCCAAGTGTTCATCCTTCAAATGTTTCTCCATAACCTTGATTTCAACCTCCACCCTCATTTCTTCTCTAGTTTGCCTGATCCCAACAGGACCCATGTGATCTGGGGTACCAGTAAGGTGAGCTCCAGCTGCCTGTCTTTGGGTGGGGAAGGAACTGGAGCCAGGAACAGAAGGCAGGCAAACCAGTTGATCCCTCCCTTTTCCTCTAGGATTTCGGCATCTCTGGCTTCCGCTTTGGTGCACTGTACACCAACAACAAGGAGGTGGCAGCTGCTGTAAGCGCCTTTGGCTACCTGCACAGCACCTCTGGCATCACCCAGTTCAAGCTATTTCGACTGCTCCAGGACAGAGGTATTGAGCTCCATCCCAGGCCAGCATGTAGGCTGGACCTCATGGCCACTGGGAACTCCTGGATATGCTTGGGCCTCTGACATGCCCTCAGTGACTAAGAACCTGTTCACTGTCTCAGGTTTAACCGTGGAAGGATGTGAAGTTTGGAAGAGGGCAGGATATAATTCAGATAGCAGAGTAGGGGGTAGATAGAAAACATAGTATGGGCTTTAACTTCTGTGTATTTAATAGCTTGTGCCCTGCCTGGAAAGGGAATAGTCAATTGTACTATAAGACCCGAAGGTGGAAGTTCAGGAATTAGTCTTTATGTGAATGTCTATTTACAATCCTCAATGTCCTGCTTGCTTCTGGAAGAGATTATAGAGAAACTCCCCAACTCCTGTAATACAACTTAATCTCATCTTCCAAGGTGGCCAAAAGAGAGCTACCCATTGGGTGAGTTGGTGTGGTTAGATCTATGGCATCTAGATTCACCCCCTTAGATCTTAAGTGAATATTGGCCTCAGAGGGAACTTACCTCTTTGAAGCCATGGCCCAAACTTAGATGAGAGCCCCCCTTTGTCAATTCCCAGTAATAATGCAGATGTTAGGCTAGCAGGTTTAAATTAAAAGCTGGGATATAATGAAACATATTAATGGCATTGGATTAGCTGGTTTACAAAATAATTTGTTTTCACCTCTGGGTAGGGAAGGAGATAGGAGAAATCCAGGGTAGACTGGATGCTCCCCTACATGGTGCCCAGCCCTCTATTTGGCAGGAACCAGATCCCAGCCTTTTGAACACTGGTTCTGAACCTTGGGTGCACATAGGAATTACCTGGGGAGCTTAAATGTGGACATGTAGACTCTATCCCCTCCAAATTCTAATTGAGACGATCTAGGGATATAGCCTGAACATTAGGGCAATAGTACCCGTAGTGGTTCTATTGTACTGCCAGTGCTGGGAGCAGTTGGGCTAAGAGCATCCCCCAAGCATATCTAGGTTCTGAGTCCACTGTGTGAGGCTCAAAGGCCAGCAGTAAGAAGAGCTGTGAGCAGCCGCTACTTGCCCAGTTGACAACGGCAGCACGAATGTCCTTTAGGGGATACCCTGATTCTTTACCTCAGGGGTCTAAACTCAGAGGGAACATTCCCACCGGACCATTGAGAAGCCCAATGTCTCCACCAGAGCCATAGATGAGATCTGGGTATGTTGGTGTGGATACCATTGAATCAAATATAATAGAGTTAGTCTTGGCTAGAAATAGCTTGTATGAAGCCCAGGTAGAGAATGCTTGGGAGGGAACGCTCTGGCAGATCTCTGCCACAAGACCTGTGATGGCTCTCTTCCTCCATCCATCCAGAATGGATTGACAAAGTGTACCTGCCCACTAACCACTTCCGCCTCCGGGAAACTCACAAGTATGTCACTAAGGAGCTGCAGGAATTGGAGATCCCCTTTCTCAATCGTGGCTCTGGCCTCTATGTCTGGATCAACTTGAAAAAGGTGAGCTCTGGGAAAGATGAATGACAGCTGTTCTTGGGCAGACCTGCCAGATAGGTCTTGGGCTCAGCTCTGTCCTTCTGTCCTCTCTAGTACCTCTTCCCATGTACGTTTGAAGAAGAGCTGCTCCTCCATCAGCGCTTCCTGGACAACAAGCTGATGTTATCCCGTGGCAAAACCTACATGTGTAAGGAGCCTGGCTGGTTCCGTCTCGTCTTTGCAGATAAGCCCACCCGGCTAAGAGTGGGTGAGTGGAGCTGACCTCCCAATCCTGGCATCCTTTAATGATGCCCCACCAACTCCTCTATAACCCAATACCTGAATGTTCCTTCCCCGCTCCTTCCCCCCATACCCCTTCCCCCCTCCTTCCCCCCATACCTCTTCCCTCTTTCACACCCCTTTCCCCACCCTCCCCCCTCCTCCCATATGGAGAATAGACTGAGAGAAGAGACACTAGAGGCAGAAATCTTGATGAGGCCAAGGCTAAAAGCCACAGGGTATGAGATTTGATATGAGGCACCAAGGTGACTGGCAGGCTGATATGACAAAGTTCAAAAAGAACCATCAGGGATGTAACAGTAGACTTGGAAATTCACCCCAAAGAAAGGAGGGCTGAAGTCCAGCATTCCTGAATGAGAGGTCCTGTGATAGTCTACCATGACCTGCGGCCTGCCTGCAAACCCACTAAGTCTTTATTTCTTTGTCCCCATTTGGACCATCTAGCCATGTGTCGCTTCTCTCAGACACTGGGGGAGCAGAAGCAGTATTTGATAAGGAAGCAGCTGGAAGATGCAATGAAGGAGTAGACTGTCCACCTCCCAGCCAGTGGCTCCAGCCAGTTACATGCTCAGGGAGCCCCTAACATCAGCCTCTGGTCCAGAAGACTGGGGTATTGACCTGGTGCTGTGACCAAGCAAACAGTAGGCTCCTCCAGGAATGGTCTCATCTGCCCCGGTCATCAATTTCCTTAAGCTGAGCATCTGCCCTCTTTGGAAGCTTTGCATCCTTTTAGCCTTTGTTAGCCATTGTGTATGCAAAATGATTTTATTGGGGTTGGGGTGGGAAGGCCTAGAGGCACCTGGAGGGGGATAAAGGGAGCTTTTCGGGTCTATATTTTACATGGGGTTTTATTATTCTGTATCTAATAAATTCCATATTCTCTTAAATTCCAGGCCTGTTTGATTTCTCATTCACATTCTTATCACTTTTCAGAGCAAGATGATTTTCTGTCCTTTCTATCTTTAAATTCTAAGGCAGGTTGTACGTGAAGAGTACCAAGTTAGGCCAGAAAAGAAGGAAAGAAGTGTTATCCCTCATGGATGGGGCACTTTCTTGGTGCTAGATGTGGTGGTCCACAGTATCCTTACGAGATCACGCTCACCTTTCACATGAGTAGTTAAGCACAGGGCAGGGGTGTAATTGCAGGTATTCCTTCTTCCAAATACCAGAGTTCTTTCCACTTTTGCCTTTTCAAAAGGTTTTAAAAACAAATCTCTAGTGACAAGCTTGGTGTCTTAGTCTGTTTCGGTTGCTATGACAAAATACAAGACCTGGGGTGGTTTATAAACAACAAAAATTTCTCACAGTTCTGGAGGCTGGAAAGTCCAAGATCAAGGCCCTGTTGTCTGGCAAGGGCCCTGTGTTCTTGCTGTAACCTTACATATGTAAACTCAAGGGGTGAGGGGTCTCTTTCTGCATCCACGACCTAATTTGTGCAGCCTCCCAAAGGCCTCACCTCCTAATATCACCACTTTGGGGGTTAGGATTTTGACATATGAATTTTGTTGGACACAGACATTCAGTCATAGCACCTGGGGTCTTCCTTTTCTATCTCTGTTCTGTTCAAATCACACCCAACTATGAGTTTCTCTGCAAAGCCCTTACATATCTGAGCACCAATGGTGTGAAATTGGCAGAGCAGGGACTACCATTGTTTTATACTTGATGAAAGAACTTTCAGTACCAACTGATGGTTTTGGTCACAAACCCAAGTGACTAACCATACTTCCTTCCCTGGGCTCAGGTTTGGCTTTTGTTCAATAACAATTTTCTACCACTATTTCTACTAACAAAAATCATACTGACAAATTCTGATTCTTCAAGGTTTTTTTACACCAGAAAAGGTTCTTTAGAAATCATTGGGCCAGCCTGTGGCTCACTCAGGAGAGTGTGGTGCTGATAACACCAAGGCCATGGGTTCGGATCCCTATATATGGATGGCCGGTTGGCTCACTTGGGAGAGCATGGTGCTGACAACACCAAGTCAAAGGTTAAGATCCCCTTACCGGTCATCTTTAAAAAAAAAAAAAAATCATCTACGGTTAGTAGAAACAGAAAGGGAATTCATTGGAAAGATGCTGTAGCTCATGAGACCAGAAGAGAAGGTGAAGATGGGAACCAGAGATGCTTGTGGGATCTCTGTACTGGGAGCTAATAGATAATTTCATTGGTACTGTCCCCAGAAGGGAAGGAATCGTGCCTTCCTTGGAAGGGATAGGCTGTTTGTCTGTTCTACTCAAGATTCAAATGGTGGCATATCATGCCAAGTGTGGGCCACAGACTGGAGAAGTGTTAACAAACCTGAAACATGACCCAGAGAAGGGGTAGTTCACCTAAGAATTCAGTGTGAGGGGTGTGTGTGTTTGTTATACCCTTCTGGTAAAAACGACCTATGCTTCTCAGGCTTATGGGTAGTGTTTTGGAGGGCGAGATGATCTTGAAGTACTCCTGTGCAGGCAGGGGTATTCACGCATGCTGTTTAAGCTGGAGAAGGTATCAGATCTGACACACATGTATACATTCATAGGGTCAAGCCCTTTGAGACATATTTTCTGATACTGTGCCAGATGTGGCTTTGACTCAAACTGAGTTGGTATGATCCAAATGGAGGGAAAAGCATCCTCGAAGGTGGCTATGCACGTGTATGATACAACTTTTTTTTGTGTGTGTGTGTGTGTCCGGCAACGGATCGCAACCCTCAGTGTCGCACCCATACCGGACTGGAACCAGCAATGGGATCACAACCCTCGGTGTTGCTCCCACACCTCGCTCAGCCAGTGAGCGGGAACCGGTCTGTATGTGGGATCCGAACCCTCGGCGGAGCCCCGCCGCGCTCCCAAGCGGCGCACTGTAGCAGTGCGCCACAGGGCCGGCCCGATACAACTTCTTTTTTAAAAAAAGGTATAATTTATATATAATAGAAAACACGTCTTAAGTGTACTGCTTAAGTTTCAAAACTTATATTCAAGTAACCCATGCTCTACTCAAGGTATAGCACATTTTCATCACTCCAGGAAATTCTTTCTTCTCCATTCCCAGCCATCCCTGCTCCACACTCCCCCATAGATTAATTCTGTCAGTTCTAGAACTCCATGACAATGGAATCATAGTGGTAAGTCTTCTGTGTCAGCTTTCATTTTGAATATAACATTCATCCACGTTGTCACGTGTTAGTAGTTCATTCCCCTTCATTACTGACGAGTGTTCTATTGCACGAATACATCACAATTTATTTATCCATTTACCTGTTGATAGACATTTGGGTTTTCAGTTTTTTTTTTTTGGTCTCTAATTTTATGATGCTGTCCTAAGTATTAAAATACAGGTTATACTTAAATCATTCAAAGTTTGGCATGTTCACACATGTGCACAAAGTATTTGATAGATATTTACACACTGGGAGACACAATTATGGTCTGACTTTGGAGTTTTGGCAGATCTGGGTTCAAATTCTGGCAAGTTTCCCTACTAGCTTTTTTTGGGTGCGTGTGATCCGAACCCTCGGGCGGGAGCGCTGCCGCGCTTCCCAAGCGGCGCACTATCCAGTGCGCCACCGGGCCGGCCCACGGGTTTTCAGTTTTTGACTGTCACAAATAAGTTTGACTGTTACAAACATTTGTGAGCAAGTATTTCCATGGTCGTATATTTCCATTTCTCTCAAATACCTAGGGAAGAATTTTTGGCCCATAGGTAGATATGTACTTATTTTCATTTTCATAAGAAAACAACGAATAGTTTTCCAAAGTGGTTGTACCATTTTACATTCCCACTAGCAATGTGTGAAAGTTCTGGGCACTACACATTCTTGTCAACATTTGGTGTTGTCAATCTCTTTTAATTTTATGTCCTTCTGGGAAGTCTATAGATTTTATTCTGCTTTTAATGTACATTTCTCTAATGATGATGAGCATCTTTTCACATGTTTATTGGCCATTTATTTCTTTTTGGGGGATATCTCTGAAATTTTTTTTGCCCATTTAAAAATCGGGCTGTTTGCTGCCTTATTGAGTTATAAGAGCTCTTTGTATTCTGCATATGAGCCCTTTGTCAGACATATGCATTGCAGATATTTTCTCCCAACCTATGACTTGCCTTTTCATTTTCTTAATAGTACAAATTTTGAGCTTTTTTTTTTTTCCTTTTTGTCTTTTTTCGTGACCGGTAATGGGATCGCAACCCTCGGTGTCACACCCGCACCGCGACCGGCAATGGACGGGATCGCAACCCTCAGTGTCGCGCCCTCACCGCGCTCAACCAGTGAGCGGATCAGTCTCTATATGGGATCCGAACCCTCGGCGGGAGCGCCGCTGCACTCTCAAGCGCCGCACTCTACTGAGTGCACCGCCAGGCCGGCCCCAAGTTTTGAGTTTTGAAGTTAAACTTATCAATTTTTTTTTTGTTGTGCATATTGCATGTAGTCTAAGATTTTTAGTCACAAAGATTTTTCTTCTGGAAGTGTGGTAGTTGTAGCTTTTATGTGTAGTTCTCTGATCCATCTCTAGTTAATTTTTGCATATGGTATGAGGTAAAGGTCAAAGTTCATTTTTTTTACCCATATTGATATCTGGTTGTCCCAGCATCATTTGAAGAAAAAAAAAAGTATCTTTTCCTCACTGAATAACTTTGGCACCTTTTATCAAAAATCAATTGACCCATGTATACATAAGTTCATTTTTGGACTATGTCTTGTGTTCCAATTGGTATGTAAATCTATTATGCAATTTCACAGTATACTGTTTACTGTGGCTTTATATAGTAATCAGGTAGTGGAAGTCTTCCAACTTTGTTTATCTTCAAAATTGCTTTGTTTTTTTCTAGACCCTTTGGATTTTCCCATAAATTTTAGAACCAGTTTGTCAATTTCTACAATATCCTGTTGAGATTTATTGGACATTGCACTGAATCAATAGATAAAGTTGGAGAAAATTCACATTTTCCTATCCATGGGCATGGAATCTCTCTCCATTTATTCAAGTCTTTAAATTTACTGTTTTTATAGTTTTCAGGATATATATCTCACATGCATTTTGTCCAATTTATCACTAAATATATTATGCTTTTCATGCTATTTTAAATGTGTTAATTTCATTTTTTTACTATTTGTTACTAGTGTATATGTAGGTACTTCAAAAAGTTATTGAAAAAAATAGAATTAAAATAATACAAATTTTTCCATAAAACTTTAAAAACCCCTTGTATACTCAGCTATAAAAACGAATGAAATACTGCCATTTGCAACAACATGGATGGACCTTGAGAGAATAATATTGAGTGAAACGAGTCAGGCAGAGAAAAAGAAATTCCACATGTTCTCACTCATTGGTGGGAGCTAAAAAATAAACAAATTAATTCACCCACATACACACACAAAAAAAAACCGGGGGTGGGGGGGGGAAGAAGATATAACAACTATACTTTTATGAAGTTGTTACAACAAGCAAACGGAAAGGACATTCTTGGGGGGGAGGGGAGAGAGGGAGGAGGGAGGGAGGTGTCGGTGATGGGCCATAATAATCATATACATTGT